ATGATGATGATGATGATGATGATGATGATGATGATGATGATGATGATTGCAAGCGGATGATTCTAAATAGGTCTATTCCGCCTGCCTCCTTTTTCAGCTGGCCAAAATGTGGCCTGCTCGCGAGTTCTCTTTGCAGAATTTAAACGCTACGGGGAGCTTCTGAAACGACCGCTGATCCGTCAGGCCCTTCAGACTGAGCGGGAAAATTTGTTGGGCTACATCAGTGTTGGCGTAAAAGAGGTAAGTCCCGAGTTGTATGTGCTTATTTTCCTACCGCAAAGAGCATTTGGATTTCTTTGTGCACAGAATTTCCGCAAAAGAAGAATTGGTAACAATTTAATTTACCTCCCAGTTCAGCACCCGAAAACCCCATCCTTGTGTAATACGGGACCGGGTGCAAGAAAGATTATACAGTCTTGGCAATACACATAAAAGGAAATGTGAAAACTAAAGTTTATAAAAGGAGGAAAAACGGGAATAATTATATATATCATGTATTCATTGTCCACAAAAATGCGTGCCATAATTAAAAAGTGCAAATAGTCAAATATTGGCAAGTAAGTAAGCTAAAATACCAAACTAAAAATTAACCCAAAAAGCGAAACTAAGAAAACATACTTTCACCTTTTCAGTAGCCCGACTTCCTGACAGTTTTCTACTTTTTTTCTCGCTGGCGAGAAGAAAGGAAAACCCTTGGAAAGTCAAGCTACTGAAAATGGGAAAGTATATTTTTGAAGGTCAAGGACAAAAGTGATCTCTGTAGACAGCCCAAAAGGTAAACTAAAGTAAGCTGAACTCATTTTATTAAAAAGTAGCTTAAAACTAAAATAGGACATGATAAGGAACTGGAAATTAAACTATAAACAGAACTTGAATAAAAATGAGTTAAATAAAACAAATTAAATAAACTAAGCTAAAGTAAACTAGTAAAAATATTAACTGGAAAAGCAAACATATGTGACCTGACTGACCGAAAGTGGTTGTTTACCAACTTTACTGTTCAATCTTAGCATGGGAATTTTCGTAGAACTTATACTTTCACTAAATAAGTAGTTAGTTATAACCATTATCCTGACTCGGGTCGCATATTGCGTCCTTGCAGGCACCATGCAGGCACTGGCTATCACACTTATGGATACAATCCAGTCGAAGTAGACGTGATAAACTGACTCTTTCAGTAGGACATTTTACTTTTTCTAATTTTAGCTGCATGATGAATTTCTGCATAGAACGGCCGAACAGGACTTCGGAGCGGGCACCAACACCAGCCAAAGTCACGCAACACACGGCAAAAATATCCCCGATCAAGTGGAAAGGATCATTTGGGCGGGTCAGCTGGAAGCCAAAGCAGCCGATCACTTAAAACTGGCTGAGACAATCCTCGTTGATCTGGATGGCTTCGCAAAACTGAAACAGGTAGGAATGGTTTATTTTCGGCCTTTTGTGATCCAGTCGAAAAGGGGAACTGATTGGCGCATAACCATTCAAATGAAGCCTAAGGTCGTCTGTTCTGGCCAGGTAGTATATGTTCATTTAAACCTCAATAGTTCGACCGTTGTTTCGAGTCATATTCGAATAGGTTGGATAAATTGTAGAGCGGCTGTGCATTGCTACATTTTTGACCATTACGCTCTGTAATTTAGTTTACAGCTGGGTAAATGGTCACGATTTTTCTATAAATAGGAAATTGCCAGTTCACCCCCGAGTTTCTCGCCCAGTCTGCCTCTTTTAAGTAATAAAGTATTTGAGGTAAAGTCGACGCTATCACTGGGACAAGCACTTTATTCGTCTGACGTTTCAGATTCCAACCGGAAACCATCCTCAGAGACACCATCAGATTGGGTTTATCCGTAAACAGGGGGTTGCAGTATTTATAGAACGACCCCCATTCATCGAGAATGACTACTCTCTGATGCACCAATCGCTTGATGGCCGTGTATTTAATCACACTTGGGTCCACTTATCTGTCCAGTCCAGACTGTGCTAAAGCTTCCCCCTTGCTGGTGGGGTTTTGAATCCCATCGGGGCCGCCGAGTTTTCCATAATTGGGTCATATGGCTTGAACTTATCTACTAGGTATCTTTTGTCAGGAGCCTTAGGCATTCCTTTGACAGGGGTAATTACTTAGAAAAAGGGATTCTACGGGATGTAACCGTTGACTGAAAATCGAAATGGCCTCTCTTTTCACTTCTACTTGACATAATAAAGCATATGGCACACTTTCTTTGTCGGATTCTTTGTCTATAATTTTTTTTTCGTGTTTGTTTCGAAGACCTGCACCCTATTCCACAGCCATCTAAACAGAATTCCAGTTAAACAACAAAATAGCCCTGAGGACTAGAAAAACTAAACGCATGTTTTTTTTCTGTTAAAGGAGGTTGTCGGTCTCATAAAAGATGTCTCGACCTGGCGAAAAGATCAATTTGATACTTGGTGTCGAACTAATCAATCAGCACTTAGCCCTGAGGAGGGAGGAGGTGGGGCTGTCAACGAGTCAAACCTCCTATTTGACCCATCAAAATGTCTGCTCCATCTTTCTGCTGTTGACGGACGCCTACAAGTGGGCTATCCGGATGGTCTTTTAAGACTTCAGCGGGAAGTTCGTCTCCTGTCTGGGTTCGGCTATCCTGTCCCCTCGAAATTGCACAAAGTAGCCGCGCATGCCGAACAGATGTACAAGCATGCAATTGTGCTGAAACAGGTAAGAACTTAATAGATGTCTTTCTAGCACAGCCTGCTTGAAGTGGGAATGGCCGAATGATTTTTATAATATATTGGGGGTACTATGGTTCGTGAGGCCTCCCTCATTGTTATTTGCCCGATAGCTGTGGTGACTTTGATGCTGCTCGTGCAGTTCTCGAAGGATGCTGGACGATGAACCAGTTGCAACTGTTTACTATGTGCCCATGGTGGGTTCATACGTTCGCGCTCGTAGCACCTTTACTTTTCTGTAAACTACCTTCCGAAAACAGGAGGCATCCCCAAGGTGCTCAACCAAAATGAGGATCACAGCGACTCATCAACATGTCTTTTGGTATTTGTAGGACCTGCATGAGCTCTCAGATATCGCCAAGCACACGTGTGCTACGCCTACATGGAGGTTTTTCATCACTCGCAACACCAGATAGTCAGAATGCAACGGCCTATCCCTATAAGAACTAACGAAAATAATGAGGTAGACTCTGCTCCGATCCAGAATTTATTTCCGATAAAATAAGCATTTAGATAGATATTGAAACTATCACGACACAATGTAATTT